AAATAATAGATAAGAGATGTGCATTAGCATATTCTTAAAAAAAATCTTTTTTTTTTATCACGACCAATTGTATGTTGTTACGCGTGTAAGTAATAGGTCAAGAAGAGTCAAGATCAACATTTATTGTACGTTGGCATATTAAGTAATGGATCAAGAAGAGTCAATGTCAAAATTTATTATACGTTGGCATGTTTTTAAAGAAATTGATTTTTAGTCACGGACAATTATGTTGTTTGTTTCGCGTGTAAGTAATATAAAAGTGTTGGAAATATTAGTTTGTGTGGACGACGAGTTGCTCAGTTATTGAACAAATAATGTTGTGTACAAGAAAGTTTAAATAATATATTTTTTTGCATGAGGAACATTTTATGGTTTGATAATTTTCCTACGAATTATCACTCTTTTATTTTAATACAGTTTAATTTTTAATATTATCTAAATTAAATACAGCCCGTGCATCACACGGGTTACATACTAGTTTAAGTTGATAATAATCTAAAAATATATTAAAATTAATTTGTTCCAACTAACAGACGTTTTTGCGTCTTCACCACCAGAAAATAAAAACACACAAGCAATTTCACTGGTAAAAATCCAAACACAGATAAAATATCTTCCATCCATGGACGAAAACGCATAGCAGGCGGCCCATAAAATCTGCAGAGCGAGGTGCAATGGCATCCATGTCCGCTTACATATTCATCCACACCCCAAAATCCCACTCCTTAACCCTCTCGCGCAGACCATTTAAATCCGCACACTTTAACTGTGTCACTCATCTGGCGGCGCCAATCCGTCCCTCTTCCGCCAAGTACAGGTGCCGGAGATCCTCGGTTGCCGTAATTAGGGCTAGCAGCAGCAGCAGCAGCAGCGGTGTTGATGTCGTCACGTCAGCAATCAGGCCCGGCGGCGCCGTCGAGAGCGATAAATTGCCGTCCGACGTGCGGAAGAGAGCTATGGATGCCATTGATTCCAGCGGGAGGCGAGTCACAATCGGTGATGTGGCGAGTAAGGCTGGGTTGAAGCTGAATGAAGCTCAGAGAGCTCTTCAAGCCCTGGCTGCCGATACCAATGGCTTCTTGGAGGTGATTTTTTCGTGTTTTTATAGATAATTTTGTTTATTTTTGTGGGAGATGATGCTGAATGATTATGATTGTGATGTTTTCTTTCTGTAATAGGTGTCGGATGAAGGTGATGTTTTGTATGTTTTCCCCAAGGATTATAGATCAAAACTTGCTGCTAAATCATTTGGGATAAAGATTGAACCTTTGTTGGAGAAGGGGAAGGTACTGATTATATACTTTGATAGTACTTTTACTAGTGGACTTTTGCTTGTTTTATTAAACTGTTATATTGTAATTCAAGTGAATTTTGGTTGACAGATGGCGGTGGAGTATTTGGTTAGAGTTTCATTCGGGACAGCACTTATTGCATCTATTGTTCTTGTTTATGCCACGATTATTGCCATATCCTCGAGTAGTCGGTATATGCCTCTACATTTGTAGTCACTACTTAGTTTTGAAGATGAGACGATACTTATTATTTGATCTTGACATTTTGTCATAGTTTTGATTTTCCTACTCATGGTTTCTAGCAGTGATTCGGATGACCGTGGCAGACGGGGAAGATCATATGACAGTGGATTTACTTTCTATTTAAGTCCAACAGATTTATTCTGGTAAGACCTCTTAACGTTTTTTTCTACAGCGTATAAAAATATCAAATGTTCAGAGTGGTAATAATTCAACATTCTAAGAAGCTTATTCTTAATGGTTGGACTTTTTTGCTAAGTGACGACCATTGTTTGCTTGTCACTGCAAACAAATTTTTCTGAGCCTCTGAGAATTTGATCGTTTTCCTTCAGATTTAAGTTACTTTTAGATACATTAGTTTGCTTCAGTGCCACTCTAATATTAATATATTAACTGCTAAACAAATGTGAATGAATTGGTAGCTGGCCCATCTGTGATGGATTTGTTAAATTGCTACTTATACAGTATACAACGCGGCATGTTCTGCATCTTTTTGAGAAATTATCTTGCAGCAATTTGGACATTTATATGTGGTCTACATATGTGTAGATGGGGAGGGTCAACTTAACAGTCAAAATGAATTTTTATCTGCCATATTTTACAACAACAACAACAACAACAACATACCCAGTATATTCCCAACTGGTTGGGGTTTGGGGGGTCAGTTGTACGCAGACCTTACCCTTGTAATTATACAAGGAGGTTGTTTCCGTAGCGACCCAAGGTGCATTGCGTCGTTTGATATATTTTTTTCTAGAAACTTCACTAATAGAAGAAGCACTAGAATTTAATTGAGTCATTTTGATCTAGTCCATTATTAGCACTATGCCAGGAGAATTGTCAACAATGACTCTTCCAGCTCCATTTGCAATGGACAAATCTGCCATATTTTACAGTGAAGTTTTTTTTTAGTATGAAAATTGATGTAGCATTTGAGGACTGTAAAAATGGAACTTCATCTTGGTAGATGGGTAATGAGAGGTGATGAATAAAGGGGATGGTATAAAGGGCTAACATAATTTTTATCCTTTATGCTCATATTTGGTTCAAACTCAAAGGATTCACCCAGAAGCATCACCTATTTGAAAGGAAATGGTATTTTTTTGATGTTAAGAGTACACAACAAAATGAGTGGTTGGTTATTCCACAAGACAATTTGAGTTTTCTTCTTTAGAATAATAGGCAGAGCTTGTAAGTTGAAAGTCTATAAGTCTATAACCACAAAGGAAATAAACAATAAGGCTAATCACGAGTAAGACAAGACGCAGAATTCGCTGGCTGATTCATCCAGCATAAATCTGACTACGCTATCGATGAAAATGTATATTTTTATGACTTTTTCATACTGTAGAGAAATTGTAGTGACTATTTCCAATTCACCCATCTAATTCCTTTATCCAGGTATTGGGATCCGTATTATTACAGAAGGCGTAAAGTGCGGGAAGATGATGGTGGAATGAACTTCATTGAATTTGTGAGATTTTTTTCCGCTAAGCTGTAGATTGTGTAGTCATGGCATTCGCACGCATTTTGATGGTGATTTTTTATTCCTCACTTCTCAGGTTTTCTCCTTTGTATTTGGTGATGGTGATCCCAATCAAGAGATTGAAGAAGAGAGGTGGAAGTTGGTAATAATCGGGCACTGATTTCAGTGGGTCCGTTACTTTTAATATATTTTATGTTTCTTTTTTGGCATTATGTTGATTGTACGCTTGTTCCTCATCTTTAAATTTTGTCAATCTTCTTTGTAGTGTGTGAGTTCCTAATAATACCAAATATATCGACATATGTTGTATTTTACATGTCTTGTTTTTCAAATCCTTCACGGATGTAAGTAATAGCTCGGACAGACATGCAAAGATATGAAATAGAACAGCTTGATAAATAGAAGATGATTACACGTTTGAGGAACATGGCTTCTTTACTCCAAAGAGGAGATGATTTGTAAAATTAGTCACAGAAGGAAAAAATTGCAATTTCAATTGCATCATGAATGTGAAGGTGGCTTGATTAGTTACTATCCATCTACCTGTTAAGAATTATATTTTAGTGATATTTCTTACCCCAATATTTTGCAGATAGGACAATACATAGCAACAAATGGTGGTATTGTCACAGCAGAAGAACTTGCTCCATATCTTGATGTAGAGAATGCTGAGAAGAAGGTACTGTGAATTTAGATTAGGAGCCAGATCTTTTATTTGGCTCTTTATCTCGGAAACACCCAGATATTCTAGCTTTCCAGTTTGTCGTTGGCTAATTTGGAGTCAGACATCATAGTTTGTCAATGCCATTTAATTTGGCTATATGAATGATTCCAAGTTTAATTACTAGAAAAGCTGCCTGTACTTGTTTACCAATATATCTAAGTTGTGTTTGCCCTATTAAGTAAGCTTCTCTACACGTTCGTACTTTTATGTGTACTAGTGTTGATACCCGTGCGATGCACGGGGTAATTTTTTTTTTATATTTAAAAATTATTTAAAACAATATGAAATTATATTATCCACAATATTCTATTCAGTAATAATCTGACATTTATTTACTTACTATTATTGTTACTTTTATAATATATATATATATATATATATATATATTTGTATTTTTTGACTATTTAATATATAAACTTTATTATTTATAAGTTTACAAAATATTATAAATGTATAAGGTTATATGATATTTGAATAAAATTACTTGTATGTACTTATAAAATTGTCGTTTATTATAGTCTTATAATTTTATCAACAATTCATAATTTATACATCGTTTGATAATTGACCAACGGTTAACCCGTAATATTTAGCTTCTGCTACAATTATTAAGGCATTAAATGTTAATAACTTTGATAGATAATTTTAATTTTATTAACTTTAATCCTTATGCAACACATTTTTTTAATGGTTAAATATTTTATTTTATTTTTTATTTATATTTTTTTAGTTCATTTTTTTTTAATTTATATAATGAGTTACATAGTATCTATTCGAATAATTAGGTATTTTATATATTTCTATAATTACCAAGTGCTATAATTTAAATTATCACACATTGCTATTTTATTAACTTATTTTTCATTTAAAAAATAGTATACGAAAAAACATATAATTTTAAAAATTGAATAGTTATTTATTGTACATAGATACTTCTAAGCTGAAATTTGTAATTCTGAATTGCACTCGACCATCAATATTTATTTTTGTCAGTATAATATTTACATTTTCAATGGTATTATCACTACATATGATATATTCAATAGGGGTGTACCTTTTTATAATTAAATTGACTACATTTCAGAAACTTTTATTTATATTTTAAATTATTTATTAAGTTAGTATGATTTACACATAGTTATTTTAATTATTTTTTTAAAATATTTTGAATATAATTC